AAAGGGTCATAGGATGCTACATGCACTTTTACAAGTTGTTTGAACTGAAATGTGTGTTGGCAGTGTGTACACAACCACCCTATAATGATAAAAATCCACCCAGTGTGTTTTTTTAATCCCCATAAATCATAACCCCTTTTTCAGATCAAGCCGTTCACAAATTCTTGGCTGTGTGACATCACACAGACCCAGGCTCCTCCCACGATTGTTGATTGACACTGGTGTTTTAGCACAGACCCGCTCTGAGTGAGCTGTCATCAGTCCGGCGTTGTTTCAATGCCGGAGCAGATGTAGACAAGAATGTCACCTAAGCAATTGAAGAGTACAGTTGTTGGATTTAATAATAGAGTCACACAGGCCAAGGCCCCTCCCACAATTGTTGATTGACCATGGCGTTTTACCATAGACCCGCTCTGAGTGAGCTGTCATCAGTCCGCCATTGTTTCGATGCTGGAGCAGGGGTAAATAAGAATGGCTCCTAAGCGATTGAGGTGTTCTGTTGTTTTAATGTAATAATGAACATAGCAGTCATCATTTACTCCCGCCATCTGAGCCGCCGAAGACGCAGAGGATTACTTTTGTTTGTGAAGGGAATGCACCCCCTGATCTACCTAAATGTGTTTAAGTTTGCGCGAATCATTTGTGATCCAGCTTCACCTACAAGATGAAGTGAGAATGTTAGCAAATCGCCTTTCCTAATAATGTGCTAGTTAGCAAGTTCCGTGGCTAAATGCCGCTAAAGTAAACAGCACCATGAGAATGGCTCGTCACCCCATGGAAGAGAGAGGCAGGGTGAACACAGCTCATTAGCATTTAAAGGAACATGCACCAAAACGACTCGCTGTGAACAGAGCTTTTTTTTGACAGGGTAAAAATGGTGTTGTTTTACACTACAATTAAGAAATTTTAACCAAAGTATTTGCGCATGCGCGACTGAACTAATCACTCCCCGATACGACTCGTTCTTCCCGAGTCACATTAAAGATTCGTTCAAAACAAACAAATCGTTCAAGAACGACCCAACACTATTAGCAACTTTCTCTGAAAATTAGTTGGCAACACTGAAAGCTTCTCCTTCACTCGTTCCTCTCTGTTGTCCATGAGTGTTGGGCTTATTTACATCAGAGTGCACAAACACAAAAAAATAACCGTGTATTTTATAATTTTACAATTCACACAGCCAATAGCCGTTTCTCCATATGCATTCTTGTCTGTTCTTGTGGACTTGTGAAATGTCATTGCCCAAAAACCCGCGTCATTTTA